TATCTAACCTATTCTATGTCATATACGGTACATTTTTTCTCTATTTTGATATAATTCCTACACAGTTAAAAATGTTCGGAAAATTCCGTGAGATTTATAAGGTACTGAAATAACTTAATTTACGAAATTAGGTTACTGAAAACGAAATTTAGTAACATTTGAAGCAAATTTACTAAATTTCTCTTAAAATTCTGATACTGTATCGTAGAATTATAAACGGTTGCTTAAAATCACTAAATGGTAACGGAAATTTAAGGTATCAAAACTGGAAAAAGTTGCGCAATGTACTCTGCGCAGCTTTTGTCCAGTGCACTACTAGACGGCTTGTGAAAACGACATTCTTCCGCATCAAGCTCACGGACAGAGAAAGGTGAAAGCAAAGAATAGTGATGATTTTAATATATAATCCTGCTAATATTATTTATCTTCTTGATATATGAATAATAAACTAATACGTGCGAAGTATACATGTTTACACAAATAACTAAGTGCGTATAGATTATATGCAGTATTCTCAATGCATTAAAAGAGATTAAAAAAATTTTTTATCGGTTTATTAATTTTAATATATATGTATGCAATTTATAATTACCTTGGTACATAAATAATAAGATAATGTGAGCGAAGTATGTTTATACAAACAATTACGTACATACGTGTGTTATATGATAATACTCAATATATCAAATGTATAGTCAAAAACTATGTACACTCAAATATAACTCTTTATAACTATAATTATAAAGTATTTTTTGATTATACATTTGACATGTTGAGCATACTATGTAACACACGTCACATATGTATGCAGTTTGCATAAACATACCTCGCTCACATTATCTTACTATTTATGTATCAAGGTAATTGTAATTTGCACATATGTTAATATGTACATATATGCTAATATGTTGCAGTTACTGCAAATTACTAAACTATAACGGAATTTTCAGAGACGTGTGACTAAAGCTTTATACAGTTACTGCTTCTGAAATTTTTATTCCCGTTTAGTAAATTTCAAATTGGTAACTGCATAAAGCTTTAGTCACATGTATTTGAAAATTTCCACAGAAATTTCTAACAATGTATGCTTGCATATTAATTTTATTTCTCTCAGTAAAGTTTTAAAGGGAAAAGTAGCTCCTAGGGCAAATAATAACAATTTTTAGTTAGGTAAATAATAACATGTCAAAAAGCTTTTTTAATATTTGAATATGATTTTTGTAATTTATTCGGAATAATGTGAGATTAGTTACAAGACAAGATTCAGAAAAATAAATGTGATTTTCAATAAGAAATACTACCAAATAATGTTATTACTATTATTTATCAATAAATAAAAATTTACATTTGGCAGAGTATAGAAATTAATATAAATTACCTTATTTAATCAAAATATCAAAAGAAAGATTGATTAAGATTTAAGGATTATGTATTTTATAATTGTCCCATCGGGTGTCACTAATTACCCATAAGGTGCGGTAAATAGTGACAAATGTAGGTTTCAGTTTTTATGAAAATCTAGCCCGTAACATGACTTATGGAAACTCTAATTAAGTTTTTTTTGTATATTTAAAAGTGGAAAGTACTCTTTTAGTGAAAAATCATATCTTGTAAACTTGAAATTAGCTTGTAGGGGAGAGAAGAAAAAATTCGTCACTATTTGCCCCCCCTTCCCTTACTTTACTTCAATTATTTTTATACTAATTATTTTTTGAAACTAATAAATTATTTCTTAATGTGCACTGTTAAATCTATAATGTCAAATTTAATCCTATTTAAGCTCCTACATTGCTTCTACTTATATGCAGTTATTTTTAAATAAAACGATGAAATTTAACTCAAATTTGGGTTAAATTGAATTTAAACAGTTTTGAATTATTTAAGTCCATTGTTTTAGTTAAAAATAACGATTTATTAAGTAGGATCAGTGGCGACTTAAATAAGATTAAATTTGACACTATAGATTTAATAACGTGAGTTAAAATATTTTATTTAAAAAAGAATTAATATATTTAATTACAAGTATTGTAAAAAATTATTTTTCTTTTGTGATATAAATAAAGCTTACTCTGTATTTAATGAATCAGTGCATCTTTTACTGATTGGCTGTATTTATGTTTTAGCCTCTTCTCCGACTTGAGAAGCCTGGCAGGCACGACTCTGATGAACCTTTTGGCAGCCCTCTTCATGGTTCAGCTATTATTCATCGTAGGCGCTGGAGGAGTACAGGTATTTTTACGTTTCTCTCTCTTCTGTTTATTACGAGACAATCATCTCGTTTATTACATAGAATTCTTTTCTGCAGAATCCTTTATATATGCGAAAGATTTATAAATACTGTAGCCACTATGTCTTACACGAAATATGAAATGTACAGAGTTGCCACAAACCTGGAAAACCGGGAAAACCAGGAAAAATCAGGGAAATTTAACCTAGTCAGGGAAAACCTGGAAAAGTCAGGGAAAGATATAAAAGAGCCTGGAATTTTGAACTTTACTCCTTAAAAGAAATCCACCCCGATTCTGTAACTCTTAACGACAGTTCGGTAGCGTTATATTTTTTGAATTGCCCTTTCTGATTTGAAAATTCTTTTCCAGAATTAAAAAATAGAAAATAACAGAGCAAAATAATTTTGTATGAAAATCGAAAAAATTTTTGAAAATTACGATTTTGTTCGAGACTTCTTTCTGTTATCGCAATCGAAAATATTTTGAATATTTAACAATATTAAAGAAATGTCTACGGGAATCTTTCTGCTTTTACCACTGATTGTGAGTTTTTGTCTGGTCCCCCAAGCAACGGAAAATTCAGTTATACCAAAGGAATTTTTTTTGTAGTTTAATGCACAACATCAAAGCAACAATGTCATAGATGTTAATAATTTGTTAGCCTGAATTTGCATTTGGGATTATGCTATTAAACTTCTAAATTTATATTGCTTCTAATAATATAAGTAATTTTTCTTGTAAGATGTATCTTCTATTATACATTAAAATTTAATCTTCTATTATACATTAAAATTATACTTGTATATTTGATACATGATCATGAAACATTTTTCACTGTCGTCTGGAAATAATGGAAAGTCAGGGAATTTCAAAATTCATTTTTCTGGTCCCCAAGCAACGAAAAATTCAGTTATACCAAAGGATTCTTTTTTTTTGTAGTTTAACATCAAAGCAACAATGTCATTGTAGATGTTAATAATTTGTTGGCCTGAATTTGCATTTGGAATTATATTGCTATTAAACTTCTGAATTTATGTTGCTTCTAATAATATAAGTTACTTTTCTTGTAAGATGTATCTTCTAAACATTAAAATTTAGAATTATATTTGTATATTTAATACGTGATCATGAAAAATTTTCCACTGTCGACTGAAAATCATGAAAAAGTCAGAGAATTTCAAAATTCATTTTTCTGATCACCAAGCAACGGAAAATTCAGTTATGTCAAAGAAATCATTTTTTTTGTAATTTAATGCATAACACATCAAAGCAACAATGTCATAGATGTCATTAATTTGTTGGCCTGAATTTGCATTTAGGATTATATTATGCTATTTAACTTCAAAATTTATGTTGCTTCTAATAATATAAGTTACTTTTCTTGTAAGGTGAATCTCCTAAACATTAATAATTATATATTTAAATAGTGAACTAACGGACTCTTGTACTTTAAAAAACAAGAATTGGGAAAGAGGCTAACGAGAGTCGAGCGCGGTACTTGATGTGCATAAAGTTTAATTTTTAATAGTTACTTAAGCTACAATAGCAGACGTTTCGGCTCCGTTCCGAGCCATCTTCAGTGATACAAGTGCCATTGTACTTAAATAACTATTAAAAATTAAACTTTACGCGCTCGACTCTCATCATAGCCTCTTTCCCAATTCTTGTTTTTTATACATTTGATTCTGATCATGAAAAATTTTCCACTCTCGCATGTCATTTGGAAATCATGGAAAGGTCACGGAATTTCACAATTTATTTTCTGTGCCAACCCCGAATGCAATAATTTGCATGATCTCCGAACACATGAACATTGGATAATTATTAAAAGCTACTTAAAAATATTACATTTAACACAGACAATTCGTTTGAGTTGTCATATCTGACAGATTCAAATTATAATGGTTATCCATAGACGTAAAAAAAAAAAATTAAAGTTACACTGTATTTGTAATGTCGATACAATATTTTACATTTAAAATTACTTCCGGGGTTTGTCAGCGAAACATTTGTATTTTTTCCCTCCGGATCCTTTTGCACAAACGTAATGCGAAAATCGACTCGGGTCCGCCGAGGTGTGAATTCCGGTGGGTGCTTTTCCGGTTCTTCCGCTTCTTTCGGAGAGAAACGGAGGGGAAAAGGGAAAGAGAGAAATTCCGTTTCGTGCTCGGCGCATCGCAGCGCGAGAGTGCCGCGAGGAAAGCTTCTGTCGAGACCCTCCCTCCGTCTAATGTTCCGCTACTTGAATCCCCCTTTAATTAAGCTCCGAGGATCCGCAAGCTCGTCCGCGAGACGCGCGACAGATTCCTCCGCGTCCTCCTTCCCTTTTTTCCTTCTTTCGCTCTTTTGTGTTCGTGTTCCTTTTTTCGTTTCGCGTCGCCGCCGGAAACATCCGAGGAGCGCGACGTCAGGCGTCCTCGTGCGCGGTGAGGATGCCTGACATCGCCACTCGAATTCTCCCGGGGAGATGCGATGCCGGTTACCGGACGAACTGGAGAAAGCATTCCGGATTCTCGTCGAGTACGATTATATCGGCGAGCCGCGGGGGGTGGGGGGGGAGGAGAAAAGTCGTATAGGAAGACGTTGCGTTGGGAAGCGTCGCGTCGTTTAAAAAGCCAAAGAAATTGGTGGCATTCCTTATTTCCAAGTTTTAATTGCGCGCCGGTGACGTCCGTATAGTTTTTGTCGTTCGCCTTTGGCGTCGATAATTTTTTCTCATTTATTTTCGTATACGGATTTTAACGTGCGCGATTAATTTTGTCACACTAACCGGACCATCCAGCGAATATTGAATTGTAGCTGTAAATCATGTTTTATATGGCTTCGACGAGATTAAAAAGGCATTATTGGCTATCCTTGGTTTTTTACGCTGCAGTTTTATCAATCGTCCCTATATTATTGAGATAGACTTTTGTAATTAATTTCAATTGGAAATAATGGAAAATATGCATCAATTAACTTTGTTGATTAAATCCATTGGGAAACTTGATCATCCGCCGATTCGATTATCGTTTTTAATAATGCATTGATGTGAGTTCCGTTTTCCACGTCAGATGTATGCCGCAGAGTGTAATATGCAGAGAAAATTCGTACCAGGTTACCGTTAAATATCTAAAAAAATTATTTTTTATTACAGTTGAACCTCGACAACTCGAATCTCAAGGGCTCTTCACAGAGGAACCCTTCGAATTGTGGAATTTTCAACTTATTGAAATTCGAGTGAAAGAGGGCATATGAAAATTCGATTTACGAGGGCTTTGTACGATAGTTTATAATTTTCCGATTATAATGGCTTTTAAAGGAAAAAAAATCATTTAACAGTGAATTATTTATACAGATGATAAATGTAACCATAAAACAATATACCAAATTATTACTCACGGATAGTGAGTTTACATAGTTACTACACATAGTTACAACTTCGAATAATAGAGGTAGCGACAACGGAAGTTTGACTTATAGATAGCTGAGGTCTGGCTACTTTAAAATTCGAGTTACAGAGGTAAAATATATATCTAAATGTCTGACAAATAATTCGAGTTAAGATAGATTTTATTTCGATTTATGGAGGTTTTCCGCAGCGGAGCGGAAGGGAATGAATAAAACTTTCGTTTTATAGAGATTTTCGAGTTGTAGAGGTTCGACTGTACTTTTTTTGGCACAAATATATTTTTTTGTTAGTTCAATAATATAAGAAATTATTCTATAAAGTTCAAAAGGATTGGTTGAATAGTTTCCTAAAATAAAGTCACTTAATTTTTCAGCGTGCTAAACTAGGCTCTCTTAATAATTTTCAATTTTTTTTTAAATAAAATAACGCAATAGCTTCTCTTCAGGAACGCGCTAACTAATATCTTGTGCGAAATTTATTAAGCGTGACGCAATATTTGATTAGTAATTGCGTAATAATGAATAAAAAAAGAAATAACGTAGAGTGCCACCCGTCAGTCGCAAAAACATTACGAATATTATTCACTGGAAGGAGTAAATTTCATTGCATTCTTCCCGTAGAAATGAAAAACTTATATATATACAGGGTGTCTCGTACTCAATGGTACAGCGCTTGTGGGGAGGTAGTGTGGACCAAACTGAACAAAAAAGTCCTCTACCATTTTGCGATCTTCGCAATAGTTATCGAGATACTATTCATTAAAAAAAAATTTACGCCAAGTATATACAAGTATATCGTACATTAGA